AGTCTCAACAGGATCTTGAGCTTTATTGTGAAAGGTTTATGTGGAACATAAACAAGCGGACACGCGATGCTGTTACCGTCGCTGTTGCTAACGACAACGCATAAAAACAAATGCTTGTCTGTCTGTAGTGTGGTTACATTAAATATAAGAGAAAGAGAGAACTTTAAGAAATTAATATAGCCACTACAGTGACCATCAAAACGATGAAAAAATTTTGCCGTAAACAGTTTATTTTGCGACACCACGAAACAAAAGATAGGTAAAAAGAAACATAGACGTTTTTATATCGTCATCCGATATATATCGTTATATTGAACAGCCCTACTGCAAGTAGATGCAATCTAGAAAGTCCCTGGCCCATCTGCTCGCTCAGCATCTGGGAGCGACAGACATTGTTTTTTCTTTCCAGCAGTCTCCAGAAATCCAAGCCAAGATTATGTTTTGGTCTGTTGGTAGTTGTTTATGAATACGTGTGTGAATGCATGCATTTTTTGTTTTGGTCATGTAGACACTACATTTTGTTCTTCACGGGGACTGTTTATCACCTGCATTCATCCAAAGCCTAAAGAAACGTGACGGATTTTGTACAAGTGCAAGCACAGAGTACAAGCAGACTACATGCAAGAGAACTTTTGGTGGCAGAAATTTCGTCTCTTGTCTGTAAATTCTACACATCCAAATCCAGAATGTGTTTCAAAGACATTACTGAATATGCAGTGAGAATCTGGGAATTTGCACAACCTTCAGATAATCTTTTCGTAGATACTTGTTCCGCCTGCGGTCTTCATTCTGATTGAGGACAGGTGGGATCTCAGGCCACTTTGGCTCTGAATCAGACTGATCTGTCTTCAGACAGCCATCAAAGGAGCAGGAGGAAGAGGGCTGTAAACACAAGCAGTTAAAATTAATCTAAAGAAAATCTCTATAAAACTCTGCGCATCTTACAGAGAAGAATGGGAGGCACAATCAAGAAAAAAAACACAAGCCTGGAAAACCGGGCGTGAATGAAACACGGTATGTTTGCTTTAAAGAAAGTAAGTTGGTACCTGTCCACTCAGCACTGACGCTCCACTGCTTCCTTCATCTAAAGAGGCACTGATATAACAACACAATAACATCACAAGATTTTGTTTGACATTCAAATACCATGAAGTTATGTTACATGCAACTAACAAAAGAGATTAGGGTCAACAAATATTTGGAGACAGGGAGACAAACTGTGCATGACTCACACCGCCAGTCACGTTTTGGAAAAGTTGATGCGTTCTAGAACAAATCTGGCTGCTCTGTGTTACTCACAAACAAATCTGTGTGCAAGACTCCTGTATATCTCACAGCTAAGTGTTGCTGGAGAACACCACCGAGCTGCCCTGTGATTAACTTGAACAACACTTTGGAAGCTAGTAAATCACGTCTGCAGCAGTTTACTGGCCCCGGACATGTTGAGTTCAGCTTGAAAAATGTGAGAAGCAGCTGCCCATAAAGTGGCACGGTCTGACTTTGAGTACAGTTTGGGTGAAGACCCGTGAGGTGATCTTTGTGTGCAAGTTTCACTAAATCCTAAGCAACACTGTTGATTAGTGATTAGTGCTCCCCATTAGTGAGGAGTAGTGATTCTTGTGGACGCTGCCCAGACTGAGGACTCTATCACTTAAGCTGCCAGATAAGACAAGAAGTCATAAAGATTTAAATGCAACAACACACAATTTTAAAATAAGCTAAATAATTTAAATTTTAAAGAAATCAGTAGCGCAGGAGTAAAGCAGGTAACCCTGGGAGCAATCCAAAAATGGAATGGTAAATGGCCTGTATTTATATAGCGCTTTTCTAGTCCCTAAGGACCCCAAAGCGCTTTACATATCCAGTCATCCACCCATTCACACACTGGTGATGGCAGGCTACATTGTAGCCACAGCCACCCTGGGGCGCACTGACAGAGGCGAGGCTGCCGGACACTGGCGCCACCGGGCCCTCTGACCACCACCAGTAGGCAACGGGTGAAGTGTCTTGCCCAAGGACACACGACCGAGACTGTCCAAGCCGGGGCTCGAACCGGCAACCTTCCGATTACAAGGCGAACTCCCAACTCTTGAGCCATGATCGCCCATAAATGATGAATTTTTAAAAATACATTTAAAAAAAAATTAAAAGTAAGGTCACAATAAGTCTTTGAATGATAATGCCAGAAAAAGGAGGTGGGTTTAGATTGAAAGATTTTAGCGTTTTCAGATTCTCTCAGGGACACCAGCAGAAAATTCCATCAGCAGTCCATAAAAGCTAAAGGTTTCCTCCCCAAATGGCAGATTGGCACACGAGGAACGAGAGGGCACACTGCTTCGCACGCTTGTAAGCATGTGAAACGTACTGGAGTGACACCATGAAGTACTTTAAAAACAAGCAGAGAGGATTTAAGAATCAACACAAACTGACAGGTGCAGGGGTGGGTATTAATGTGCTTTCTTAGCAAACGTGAGTTATTTTATCTACAAAAGTTACATCTCTCTAGTTTTCTTTGGAAGCTGAAGACGCACTAGCACAGAACTCACCTGCGAGCGGTCTGAGGTGTGAGTCTCGGTTTGCTGCCGGAGCTTCCAGAGTGACTGAGGAATCTGCAGACGGACATATACGGCAAACAGGCGAACACAAGAACTGTTCAAACAGGCTGAGATTACATTGCACATGCAGAGCATGAAATATTTTTTGACCATGTCACAAAAAAACCCCAAAACCTCAGTACACTGAGTCACCAAACACTGAGTCACAGGAAGTGAGTGCAAAGAATCAAAAATAGCTGCTACTTTATTCTCGTAAGACGCCTGTATGTATGAAATGAATTTGAAAAAGCAAACTGTAAACCATGACAAAAAAAAAATCGCTCTACCTGTGTGCCCGGCCGGTCACTCTCCTCCTGTGAATTAGACTTTCGGCTCTGCAAATTAAGGACCGTCGTCTAAGAAGCCACACAAACAAGCAGTAGGCAAGTCGGGGGAACAGGAGAAGATCAGGAAATGGCAAAAGTGGAGAAGAAAAAGTCAGGTAAAGCTGATATGGGTCTGACTTGCAAAGACAAAAGCGGTAAAGTGCAGTAGGTAGAGATGTGGCGTAAAAGATTGGGCAGGAATGCTGACGCAGTGGATTTGTTCAATGAGTAAACCAAACTGTCCAGTTCACTGGAAATGTAGACTTCGATGCCTGTCTGTTTGCTCTGTCAAACCACTTACAGGACTATTACTTAAAATTTCTATACAGCGGGGCATGTATTAGTCACGGCACATTTTTTATGACTACTTTGCAAAACGCTGGCATCAAACTGATGAAGCTTAGGCAGTAATGCTGCTTTGTTTTAAAAGTCACGCTCAACGACTTTGGAAAGTTTTTAAAACAACTGTGTTTCTTTTAAAAGCTCATGATGTAAGCCTACTTTGTAATGCTTTCCTATACAGAAAATTGTTAGAAAGGAATAGATTAATGAGGACTTTAAGCGGATTTAGTAATGCTGTTGGTATTATAGGCTTGCAGGGAGAAATCGCTGTTAGGCTAACTGCAGAAAGATGTTACATGAACAACACGGATTTAAGCAGCTAAGCAAACGCTGAGGTACCACACAGCTACTGTTATGTTACGAGAGTAGACGTGAGGGCCACACACCTGTTCTGCTGCTCCTGCTGCAGAAGCTGGACAGCAATCTTCCTCAGGTCAAGCACTTCCTTCAGCTCATCGTCCTCTTCCTCAGCTAGCTGCTCCTTATCAGAACTGGGAAAGGTGAGGAACAAAATTACTATCAAGTGATTAATTAGAGATATATCTAGGTGTGGGCACACATCCATTTATTATTTTCTTCATATCCAATTCAGCTTATCCCAGCTGCCACAGGGCAAAGTTTGCCCACCCCCTCCCAAGACTGGTCATCAGTGTGTCGCAGGGCCAGCACATTTACAGACACGTGTGGAATCCCCAGTTAACCTATTATGTTTGTCTTTGGTTTCAGGCTGAGACATGCAGATGATTAAAGGGGGAAACCTGCTGGCACCACTCATCATCGAAGTCGCTGATTGATGTGAATGTCAATGCAATTCGGTAGAAAGCCATCAAACTGTGTCATCACCTAACGCGTCATTTCCAAAGAGATCTCCTTGGTAGTACATGCACAAAAAAAATAAATAATACAAAATGTCTTTTTGTGTGTGCTAAAAGCTCTGCCAAACCAAACACCAGTCTGGCCGCCACTTGCGATAAGAAACAAAGTGAAAGTTTTTTTTCTGTTCTCTCATGCCCCCTCGCTCTTTCTGCGCATGGTTTCCTCTGGTTCTTGTAAATTGCTGGAGTGGCACACCTGGTCTGTATTAACCACTCCTTGGCTCCAGTATAAATACCTAGGTCTTCCCACTCACTTCTCATTAGAGCGGGTGAGCAGTGTGGCAGTCACGCTAAGGCTAACCACTCCTGGTGTTTTCATGTCTTTTATTGGATATTTCTGATTCAGGTTTTTCTTTCAACCCGCTAGCCTTGGGGCACACTGAGCCCAACATCTTGGCTGTCCACTCTCCATATGCCTAACCTCATCACCGGGCTTGCTTCCCGAAAACAAATTTTGCTCTTTTGGTCTGTCTGGATCTGATTTGGGTAGCAATTAGCACAACCTGTGCCAGCTCACCTTCCAGCGAGCGGTTACGTTACCCTAAAAAGTCCGGGGGATGGTGGAAAGTAACAGCATTGCACACACAAAAAAAAACTCACCCTGACTCCTCTTTCCAGCTGTCTTTATCTTTGCTTTGGTGAGACATGTTAAGAACTTTCTCCAGTTCCTGGAACGCACACAGGGACATCACGTCACGTCACGGGACCAAGCACACAGAGATAGATATTCTCTCCCAACGTGTCTTCAAAAGATTTCCCACATTCTTCTCGGTTTTCTAGACTGATTGATGAATTCATACCTTTATACAAGACACATGACTGCTTTGCTGCCCATTGCACTCTGACAGAGCAGGATCCTCGTCCGGGTTGGGCTCTATAAAGTCATAGAGATCCTGATCTGATAGAGGGAGGAAGCATCCGCGTTCATCACATGAACTGTCACATTTTTAGGCACTTTATTCAACAACCCCGTGTCTCTGTTATTGCTTTCAAAGGGAATATGTGATACTTATTTTCGGTAACCTTTGCAAGAGTCCATTTTGGAGAGGAGTGACAGGGCGTCGGCACGGGCTGTCTCTGAAACTTGAGAGTGCAGGCTGACGGTGTCATCGTCTGAAGGCTGAAGGAGAGGAAAACAGAGGAATGGGAAGTCAAGTTTCAAATGCAATCAATTCACCTGAATTATTACTGTTGCTATTTTGGTTATTTAAATGGAACGGGATTAAAAGGGAAAAAAACCACACCTGCAACACGTGACTGTAGCATTTGCCAAGTCACGTTTACAGCCTTACTAAGCAACTTTAATGAGCAGATATATTATGTATATATTCAGTTCCTCCATTAATGATCTTTTGAGTTGCATTTGTAGTTCTTTGCATGTATCCAGACATCCTTCTGAAAGTATCATTGTCTCTTATACTGGTTTGGGTCTCGTCGGTTATTCTCCTGTCACAACAATGAGCTCACACAGTGTTTTGCAGTGCTATAGCTTACAGGCATAAGGGAGGCTACTCAAGTTTTGGAGGGAAGTCCTTTAAATAGGTTATTCAGAGCTGCACATTTCCACCTTCTACTGTCACATCAGTATTTTTCCATTTGGATTTCTGCCACCTTCACAAAGCTTCACGTGTTGCTGCTGACAACCAACCTCCCTGCACATTTGCTTTCCATTATCCAACAGTGCCCTGCAGGTCACATCTTGCCAGTTTGTCTAGTCAGATATTTATGTTGTTTTACCAAGTGTGCTAACATTTACTTCTGTCTGTATTTTTTTTTTTAAACAACAGCCCCTTTATCGTGGCAAATGATAAAGGGGCCAAGCTGCTTCCTTTCTGTGCACCTGCATGAGTGCTACTACCAAAGCCTAACGCTCTTTCCACTCCTTAGATTTAGTGTGATTAACAAGTCGACCACCTATAAAAACAGCTCATATTATATCAAGAAAATGATACGGGTTACCCTTTCATAGTTATATATCTCAATATGTGCTCTTTCTTAAGTAGTAAAATGTATTTATTTTCTCACACAAGAGAAAATAAAATTGTATTCTACTTTCTGGGGCGTGGCTCACCTAGGAGTGACAACTCCCTAATATATAAGTCTGTTTGAGCTTTCAAATCCACCCATCACTGATGAGATCTGGTTTCAGAAAAATATAGCTCAGCTCGAGGCTCCAAAACAGGAAGGCACAAGTTAGTGAGTGATGTCACATGTGTGACACTTGTTTGGACTCTCACCTCTGTTGTAGACAGCCTCTTGTCACCATTGTCACTACCAATTCCAGAGTCAGGACCGTGGTTCTTACTTGGGTAAAAATCTTCCATGCTGAAATTGTGCAAAATGACGTAAATTAGACAGCATTAAATGATTAGATAGCAGAAATGCAATGCATGGTGTTTTTAACAGAATAGAAGTGATAAATAGATGCATTATGATATAATGATATACTTGATGATGGTTGCAAGTAAGTTAGTAAATCTGTCAGCACCTATCTGTTAGTGGTTGCGGTAGGCAACGCTTGCCAAGAGAGGGGAGGTCCAGGGTGTCTGGTTTCTTATCCATCCTACAAGCCTGCATGTTCAGGTACTTAAATATGTGCACTTTGCCTTTAAGACAAATCTGAAATAGATAAACACAAAATGTGTTCTTGAAGTCACTCCAACCACTACAGAGGGAACTACAAGGAAATCCACGCGGGTGGATGGGTTAGATGTACAAAAACAACCACTATTTTTTTTTGAAAAAAATCCATAAATCTCCAATTGTTATGTACATCTGTTGCCACATATGGGCAAAAGCACCACCATAAAGCAAATCCTCATACCTGTGCCGGTGGAGACTGCATAGGGTTGTTGTCTAGGATGATGTGCTGCAGTTGCCTCAGCTTCCTGTAGGCTGGAGGAATCTCTGTGATCTTATTGCAGGAGAAGTCAAGTCGGATGAGAGGCAGGTCAGCCAACTCTGAAAATACAAATAACAAGAAACTGATGTGCACTGCTTCGACTGCACAATCATCAGAAATTTGTATGTGCTGTTAGGGTAGATCTTATAAAAATAGTTTAACAACATCATTAAAACAGAGTCAAGTTCTTGTTTTTGGGCTCTTATCTTAACCCTGAAGCAACCACAATAATTCAGCAAATAAAAAAAGATCATATCTGGTCATATCTGTATCTATAAATATGTTATTACACATTTTTTTTCAATTGCTCTGTTTGTCGTAATGTACTCTTTCCATCCATCTATGGCAGAGGTTCTAATGTTAAGCTTTTCAAAGGTACTTTAATGTAAAAAGGGGTTAACTTGACTTGTGATTAAAATGCATTTCATCCTTCAAAATTAATGGCAATATTTTGCTATGGTTCTTACTTTAAGGGCATGTAGAAATATGGGTAAAAGTATCTCTAACTGCTTTTAAGGGGATTTTTTTAGTTCATTGTGTTGAACACGTGATTTTTTATACAGAATTTTATAAATATTATTAATCTGTTAGACCGGTTTATGTTCGACAATATTTTCACGGACCGGCCTTTAAGGTGTCGTGGATATATACAACAAAATAAAACCAGTACCGGTACAGATTTATTCATAACACACGGGAAAAGACCCACGGAAACCAAGTCAACAATAAAAACGATTAAAAAATAACGATAAAAAAACAATAAAAACCCTCAAAACCATAAATTTCACACCCGATCTTTAACTCTCCTGGCCTGGTACTAAAAAAGCCACGGACCGGTACCGGTCCACGGCCCAGGGGTTGGGGACCGCTGTGTTAGACAACAGCAGACTGCATGGATTTATGTGCCACACGTAGGAATTGCTAGAGTTGGGCTTGTCAATTCAGGTATCCTTAGTTATTCAGACATATATTACTATAATTTATTAAGTTGCCTTCTGCTATGTTTATCTGTGCCAACAGTAACAAGACAGGCAACACAAAACATAAAAAGCACAGTTGTATCTCTTGGCTGCGAAAGTCTGGCATAGATGCCAAAATGTCTCAGTGATGCGCAATCAATGCGTCTCAAGTGAAAGAAACACACAGAGAGCTTCATGAGTGATGGATTTACCATCAGGCAGCATGTGAAGACTATTCTTCCTGATGTTGAGTTCTCTCAAGGCTTGAAGCTTTCCAACTTGAGCAGGCAGCGCCTGGATCTCGTTTGAGCTCACGTCCTGAAATCCAACCCAGCAGGGGGAGGCAAAGAGTGAGAAACGGAATTATTAGCGTTCACTCTCTCACCTCTCACACACACATACATATAGAAAAATGGGAAATGGGTGCAGCAACTTACTGAGACATGCAAAGAACATAGAAATATAGCATAAAAGGCAAAGGCAGAGTTTGTACAAATCTATTGAGCTTGGAAGTCCATATTTAGTATGACCACCTTTATTCTTCACCACAGCCTGAACTCTCTTAAGGCAGCTTTCTTGTCATTTCTTTAAGCAGTCCTAAGGCATAGTTCTCCAGGCTTCTTGAAGGACAATAAAAGCTCTTCTTTAGGTTGGATCTTTTGTTCTCTTCTCTGTCATGATCATCTCGCACTGCTGCAGGTAGTCTTTCAGGCCTGTCACATTTTCTTTTGTCATCACTTTGTCCAGTTTTTAAGAACATACTGCACACCATGCTGAGATATGTCAAGTTCTTGGCTAATAGCTTATTGGGAATCACCTTGTTGGTGTAAAAATACAATTTTATGTCTATTGAACTGTGTTATCTGGCATTTTCTTATAGATTCAACTAAATGAATTGGAACAAACGATTGTGTTTTTGTGACAGGCTGCTAGTTAAAAAGTGCCTAAAGACACAATTTAAAATCGATTCTTTGCTAAGTTTTCTGTTATGTGTAGACAGAACACTGGTGTATGTGCCTCAAGCTCTGTACTGTATACAAAGGCTGATGTATACAGGCTGCTCACCAGTTCCATTAAGTCTTTGGCCTTGCCAATCTCTTCAGGGATGGACACAAGCTTGTTGTTGCTCACAAGCAAAACCTTCAGGGGAAGGTTGAAAAGGTATTTCGGCAACACTGTCAGAAGATTTCGGCTGCAGAGAAAGACAAAACAATGACCTGCATTTAAAATAGCATACAGAAGCGTGTAACACCGAGACGATGGTGACTGGGAATTGAGTTGTAGCAAAAGAGGAAACATCTCTTTCGCGTGAGCATTTTCACCCTGTAAGTAAGGTGAAAGGGGAACAGGCACTTTTTTGGCATATAACTGAATACCAACATTCACTCCTTTTGTATTCAATTAGAGTCTGAAACAATAATAAAAGTATAGTGTTAGCAATGGCTCACCTGATGTCCAGATAAGTCAGCATCTGCAGATTGATAATAGCTTCTGGGATGCACTTAATGCAGTTGTGGTAGAGGTTGAGTGACTCCAGGGGGGCAAACAGACACACTTCTGGGGGGATTTCTGTGAGACGATTCTTAGACAGATCTGCAAGGAGAAGAAACAGAATACTTGTGTGCATAAGCACACTGGTGACAAACTCATTATAACCCTTTAACATCAGTTATGTGTGCTTTTTGCACAAGAAGCCATTCCCAAAGCCTCGAAACACTGATCAATACATATCTGTGACAGAGCAGTAGGAAACGTAGCTCTTCATCGAACGTCGGTCTAATATTACACCAGAGTCTTGGGCTTTATAGGTTTGAGTGCTGCCGGCGGGGTCATACGTCAGTATTTCCAGCATCGATCTCACTGGGAGTGGCACGTTAATGGCTTTAGATTTGTATGAATGAGTGGAGAGTGTTGGAACTCATCCTACATCTGTCGGGTTTTTTTTTTGAAAGACAAGTTAACAACAAAATAAAATAACCATAATTTTTTTTCTGGGTTACTTTTTGAAGAGAAGAATCAGGTTTGCTGAGGCACAGAATAATTTATTTAGGATCCTTTATAGGATTTATCTCTTTTTATTAAAAGAACGGTCAAAAGTGAATGAGTTCTATGATTGCATTTAACTGAAATAAGTCTTTTTATACAAATTCAACATATTTGCAATCATGTTATGATATATAATAGAACAATACCAGAGTAAACAACCATACTATCAACTGTTAAGGCTATAATAGCATGGCAGCATATCACAATGGCTAAATTGTTTTTCATGTTTAAGAGCTTAGTTCACCTTCACTCATATTAAAACCCACGCCAACAGTTTAATGTTAAGAGTTTTGCATGCATTTCTTAGTTAAGATATCAACAAAGTTACAAGGAATTCGTCTTAGGAGTCACTGTTGTCCCTTGCCAAATTCAATGCCAACCCATCTCAATCCTGTCACGACATGTCACCTACAGTAAAACACCCGGTGCCAACTTCAAGGTGTGGCTAGAAAGGAAAATGAGTATGAGTCACCTTCTGGTAACCACAAATGGCAATAACAACTGTTGACAGTACAGCTAATGTGACAAATTCTCCTAAACTTGTCAAGCTGTCTGTTGTGTCGCCTGATAACACTGAAGTTAGCTTCTAAATTGGCAGAAGATGAATGTTTAGCACACAGATTTGATAAGTAGGACACTTTCGTGTTTGCCAAACATATCTGTACAAACAAATGAGGTCAATTTTACCATTTTTATGTCGACCGAATCAGACGAGGCCTTTCGTTCAAGATATTTTGTGTAAACGACAAAGCGACAGCAGAAGTAGCGGTTAAACACGCTCTGTTTAAAAGAAAATAAAGAGTTAAGCTATGCTTCAATTGATCACAGGGCATATTTACATTTTGTTGGCAGGTAGCAGTGAAATTTAATCGTCATGTTTCAGTGGATGAACCTTCCTGTTTTCCTCTTGCAACATAGGTTGAAGACTGAGCCTCAAAGACCATCAGCAGTATATAGGATAAACATTATTTAATATGACTTTCCAAAGTAAGTATTTGGAATACATGTGGAAATTCTGAATGCTGGCTGAGGACACGCTCTGTTTAACCGCTGAAGGCAGTTTGCTAAAAAAAAATCATAGCCATGCATTAATGAGCTACATGCATGTGCTTTTGTTCTGCAACAGGAACATGAATGTAATCTCTGCATCCACCCCCCATTTTTATCTGCCTGCTGTAATGAAATATTTAGAATTCATCCCAACAACGTCAAATAAAGGAAGCATACAGATACAGATGCTTAAGCTCATTATGCAGATATCTGTCCTCAGCCAGCATTCAGAATTTCCACATGTATTCCAAATACTTACTTTGGAAAGTCATATTAAATAATGTTTATCCTATATACTGCTGATGGTCTTTGAGGCTCAGTCTTCAACCTATGTTGCAAGAGGAAAACAGGAAGGTTCATCCACAGAAACATAACGATTAAATTTCACTGCTACCTGCCAACAAAATGTAAATATGCCCTGTGATCAATTGAAGCATAGCTTAACTCTTTATTTTCTTTTAAAGGTCTTTAGATCGTGCCCACATTTCCGCTTAAATAATCACTGACCCCGTGCACTTTAACCAGAAACACAAGGATACTTGTAAGGTTACCTTGCACTGCACTGAATTCCCCGTCAAACACTTATTGATTCAGTGCCTATAAATTATGTGTGTACGTGTCTGCGTGTGTGCTGTTGGTATTCTACTCGTGTTTCACTAACCTAAATCTGTTAACACAGTTACATTATGAGGATGTCTGCTACAAAGTAACATAAATCACTACCTACTAAGATTAATGCCTTTTTAAAGGTTGGGCAAATAGAAGTTTAGATCAGAGGAAATTGACAGTAAGTCAAGTTAATGTCCTTTAAATTCTTTGAGAATGTGGACACATTGGCACATCACTTTTCTAAAAGCACCTTACACCGCAACCTGAGTCTTACAACTCTGTTTTTCTACTGTGCACATGCTCACACACGGATAATACACCAGGGTTTGGTGTAAGGGTTCAGTATCGTGGCAAGGACATTTCAACATGAGGAGAGTAGCAGGGGGTTAGTGAACAACCCGCTCTCCCTCCTGAGCCGTGCGTGTCTGTGTCAGTGTGCGTGTGCGTGCACGCGTGAACAATCTTGTCTTGTGAATTATCTCTGGGTGACAAGATAATTAGAGTGAGGAGCTGCTGCTGCGGAGCTCCAGATAAACAGAAGGCTTTCAATTATTCTGTCCCACATAACCAAAGTGCGCTATCCTTTGCTTGGGAAAACCAAACACTGCTGCGCCTCCATCCCCTCATTATGTGAAATTACATATAGGCACCACTATTTATTAAACAACTGAGCTACAGTATAAAGGTTTTAATGAAACTAAATTCACTTACCTGCTATTAAATGTTACTGTTTAGTATGAAGGATATCGTATCTAGTATTTAAATATGGGAAGTAAGGCCTTTATTCATTCATCCCCAGTGCAATGTAACACCTTCTCTACTTTTACTGAAGGTTGTTATCAGCTATGAAAAGAAACTGACCCGAATTGTATTGAAATGGCCTGATTTACCTGCATTTTAACATTACATACTATATGTTGAACCTTTCGCCCCATTCGGTCAGATTACAAGACAGTTTGAGGAGAACAAAACCGCCTGAAGAATCAGACAAACTGAAGAATCAATAATAAACTAGATATTTGTTCCATATCCTTTATATCAGATGTCAGTGTCCTCCGTGATCTTAGTCATTATCACTACTTGTCGGACATTTGATTGCAGAAGTTATTGTCTGGAGGGATAATTCTTGTTTTTGTTGTTTGTTAATTAATACCAGGGAAAAGAGAAAGTTGCATTTATTACATACATACCACTAATACATGAAAGCAGATTGGCTTTCTGGTGCTACTAGTGTGATCCCTAATGTGGCTTCTCACAATAGCATTTAAACAAAAGTGCCACTAGTTGCAGCAAAACTAGTGACTAGTCAAACTAAAACTAGTCAGTTAAAATGACCAAACGTCCAGACAGTGGTTATAGGAAACTAAGGTCAGATAATATGGATTTAAAGCTCAAGCAGGTTTCCACAGATAGGCTCTGACTGTGTAGTTGTCTATGGGCTCTGACAGCAGTCAGTAAGCAGAAGTGAGAAGCAGACTATGACACAGTCAGCAGCACAAAGGGAAAAGAAGCCAAAGGGTTAAGGGAAGCAGAAATTACCACATGGGGAAAGACTAAAGCTGAGGTCACAAGGTATACACGCTTTCCATTAAGACTAAACTCTGCCTCTCCCTCAGGCTTGGACCTTGATGCTGTAACCCAGCTGCATATAGTCAATTCCCCCATCTCCCTCCACACCCTAATCTGGTCCCACAACTGGGTATTCTGTGTTAGTAGTTGAATCATCTGGGTGATGGGGGAGCTGGGGGGTAGGTGGAGACAGGCTTTATATGCCTGTCTATCTTTTCCCACTTTTCCCTCCTCCAACCTAGGCCACGCACCATCTGCAGCGCACAGTGGGTCTTTAATCCACCTGCTTGCAGCCTCAAGCTCCCACAGAACAAGGCCCGCCAGGCAGAGAAGCACTCCACCAAGGCTCCACGGCACCATCAATCTATTCATTTGTGTTCGTAGTGCAGATGCTGCTTGGATATGTCCTTCCGTGACACAGCAAAATGAATACTAATTGCTTTCTTCTGGAGCAAGCAGTGAGTCTCTGATCAGCAAGAGACTGATTTTGAAGAGAGGATAAAAATAGCTTTAAGTTGCTATTTAGAAATTCAGCTTGTTATCACTAAGTTATTTGTCTCTAAGCTGCAGGAAAATGAGCCCATCATACTCTATTTACTGTATTCTGTCAATAATGCTGCAGGATTCAGTTTAATGAAAACATGGAAGGTGCATGTCAAGGAGATGATTAATTGGGGTTAATTAATTTTCACCCTGCAGCAGATGTGCCACAGCCACTATGGCTGTCAGGATTTGGGTGTGGTCCGGTGCTGCGGGTTGGACCGTGCAGAGTGCTCTTTGTGAGATTTGGCCTTAGAGATCGGGTAGTCTCTTGATCAGCTGCGTTTGTTCAGCTACTGTGCAGGGGTTGTCCGTGAGAGCTTGTAATCACCGTCAGGCACTAACGCGGTCCAATTGATCCATGAACCGCATCCTTTGATCTCTGCCCAATCCAGATGCTTCAGGATTGGGCAGAGACATGCTTCAGCAGCACCCGGTGTTGACAGACACACAGACACATTAATATTCAAAAACATTAATATAGATATAGATACTATAGATGTGCAGAAACGGCTTCTTTCCCTGGACCATTTGGTCTGTAAACAAACACTATCCCCCTACACCGCATCCCTGTCCACCCACCTACCAATCTGAGCCATGGTCTTAGTAACCCTCATCACTCAGGCCACTCACAAGGACTCTACTCAGACCAAGTCCTTTGCAACCTGATCTGTAATGTGTGCCTTTCCCTTGTTTTGTATATATTTCTCCTGTTTGTTAGTTATTCCTGCTGCCTTACTATTTTTATTTACAGTAAAGGGCTATTCTATTCTATTCTATTCTATGATCATAGGCTTTTCAGACATATAATAGTATTTGATTTTTGTTCAAACTATTTATTATACATTTAGCGCCTAAGATATTAACCCCAACATTAATTTTTCACTGAGTCTATTACACCAGAAATTAATTGAATGAAATTAAATCACATGTCAAGCATTTGATTCATGTTCCTATTTTTAAATGAAGAAGCAGACACTCTGGTTGTGTCACACTACACAAATTTGGACACTACAAATGTCTGATTGGAAAATTCAGTCATGCCACATTGTTCCTGTTAAATTCTAACACATCCTACTTTGAGACGACACTAAAATAGTCACACTCTGTTATATGACACACACATTTCTAATTTACTGTGGTTATACCTTCATTTGTTGAGCTTTTTGTCACGCACATACGCCACGCAGATAAAGCCTAGCTGCGAACTAAAAGAAAAATTCTGTGAACATGTCCTTGGTGCCTTTTTAAAATGTGAATGTTACTTCTGTTGAACGTGTTTGTAACTCCAGTGCTTTTTAAGCTGTTGCTTCACAGAAAAGAATCAATTAGAGACCACCGTTTCATTTTCTGATCATTTTACATTCAAGTCTAAATGTTTAACAGTGGCATCATTAATATACAGGCCTGCGTCTATAAGCCAGTCTAGGCGTGGGTGAGTAAAGGCCTTTATCTCTGATATTTTTCAAAGACTACCTTCAACTAAAGGACACTAACAATTTTCTCAAAAAGGGATTTAAAGGAAAATTTTATGTTGTGTCTCATATATAAGACATAATTATGGGACGACTCTGTTGCCCAAAGCGCTTGCTTTTCTGCACAGGCTTTCAGGAGAGACAGAGGATGTTTGATTTAACAGAGCACAGAGAATGAGCAGCCTTTGGGGGGCGTCAGCCTGCTTGAACTTTAATGAGCTGTGGCGCTTTCAGTATTTACACTGGTTGATTATTAAGGCAGAGAATGTTTGCTTGATACTTGTGGAGGCCGTCCTTGAAGAGTTTAACTTATAAGGAATGCAGCAGCACCTTGTGAGATTTACTGTGCACACAAAGTCCCACAAAATCGAATAAAGAATGCCCAAGTTGCATTTTGGCCCCCTGTTTCAAGGACTTCCGGTATCTTAGTGGGCTTTTTGTGTGAATGAATAGTGGTATTGTAAAGCGCTTTGGGTGCCTTGAAAAGTGCTATATAAATCCAATCCATTATTATTATTATTTTTGGTTTGTTCTTGGCTGTCAAATTATCTCTTTTTGTGACAAAAACTGCATTACTCGCTTACCTCTTCATTTTGGCCATTAAATATTAGATCAAACTATTAGTGGATGACGGAGTAATTAGCCAGACAGTGAAGTGTTTATAGTGTGATGACAGATTAGGTGCAATCTTCAATTGTGGCACAGCCATTAAAAATGGAAGATAAAACCACACACTAAATCTAATGCATGTATTGTTGATTATACCATAAATGAGTCATCATGGTCTCCAAGAAATCCCAATGTGAAATGTCTTTATTAGCATTTTTCCTGAGAAGTCACAGAAACAGCTGGTGTAAACTTGGCTGAATATCTGACAATAACGCACACCTGTGAAGGTACGGTGAAGGCACCTCGCGGCGGTGGGGTAATGGCAGGTAGAGGCATGCTGGGGTTATGAACCAGATAGATGCACTAACCCGCATGCACTTCTACACAAGTTCGGGGCAGCATTCTCAGCGCTTTCCCTGTGGGAAAACAACCCGACTGGAGACAAACTAGCAGCAGCACACTGCAAACGGACACTCTCGTGTGATGTCCGCTCCCTTTTTGGTTGCTGCTTAGCCGTCAGATGAATCCGTTCGCTTTCTAAGAGCAGCAATGCGATGTTATCGAAATAGCTTATCACGAGACATATCAAGAGCCACTTCTTCTTTTTTTAAACGCTTTTCAGTTTTCAGGTGTAACAAATAATGTAGCTTAACAAGCTGGGTCTTAGTTTACAGAGCTGGCACTGTTCAGTGAGGACTGAAAGCTGCAGCAAAGACTTATAAGAAAAGATGCATTAAAGTTAACTTTAAATTGCATCTGATTTTGACTGAGCCAGCAAAAATGACACAGTTTCTATTTGCAGCAGAGATTGCAATTGATGTAAAGGATAGCGCCGTGAGGTGTTGATCTCTCTTCGCACATCTGAAAGTGACACTTCCCTTCTGGCACACCTTTAATTTGACAGAGTGAAATGAAGGCGTGAGATACAAGCGCGAGGCGTGCAGCATTTACAGCACCTGAATTGCACTGGCACAGAAATATAAACCTTCCCACCTCTTCGAGTTATCATCGCTGTTATAATGAGCACTCCAGATAACAGAAGCTGTTTCTAAATTTAAAACGCAAATAAATAAATAAATAAAACTCTTGGCAGATGTTTTGACTGAAGTTCAATGGAGCAAAGCTGACTAGTAGAAGAGCAGATCATTACAAAGACGGCCTAACAGTCTGTAAATAGTTCACCCCAAACTTCCTGTTTTGCGGTTTGTCACGAAACATGACTGGCAATCTGTGTAAAACAAAAAGGCCCTGAGCTCCTCTGGGTTATTATGGTGTGTATTGTTATAAGTCCTGTTTATTCTGGAGAATTAGCACATATGACTATCAAATGAGCAAATTTCCATAGATCTGGGTGGACAAGCCCACTCACAAAACGATTACTAACGACTAAGAACAGCAGAGCAGCATGTAAGAAAATAGTTGGATTATAGCTTAGTACTGGAAGACATGTCTGCTTGTTCAGCAAACCTTTCACCTCCTACCAAGCCCACAAATGATTTTCAGTGGCTGGAGCTCTGTGCATATCGTGCTTTTTGCTTTATTTTTGATTCAGTAATTAAACAAGTCACTTTCAGGTGTGCTCAAAGAAGACTGTCTAGATGTGAAGAGGTTCTGAAATCTTGGAGTAGAAAATTTTAACACCCTGGGGGTACGGGTAAGGGTAAGAGCTGCACATGATGACAGATTAACACCAGATGGTCTATGGACACATCAGAGGAGGAGTCTATCATTTCTGAGATTTGGCATCTTCCACATGCTCATGTTAATGCTTGGAAATGATAAATAGCAAGCCAGTCTTACCAAAATTACCAAATGTGTGCAAAAAGATGAATATATGTATGTCTACCCTAATTAAACGCACAGCCACTGAAGTCAGGCCATTCCCAATAAAACTTATGTATGTATGACCTCACACTGATAACACAGACTGCTGAAAAACGTGACACTAATACTGGCCCACTAACTACGGTTAAGGGTGACCCAGAAAAAGATCGCCCAATAAAGACATGGGTTAAAACAGGAATCAGCCTACACGTGAAACCAAAAGTAAACCCGTGTCTTCCTCCTGTCTGGTACATTACAAGCTACACTATATGGGCATATACAGCCAAGCAACCAAAGGGGCGTGAGGCTGCCAGCAAGTACCCTGCATCTTTTGTCTGATCGTGCCGAATATGAAAAAAGCCGCGCGCGTGTGTGTGTGCCACATGTTCATCACAAATGATATTCATTGAGCAAGAATCACACTCTTCGTTGCCGCAGGCTTCATTCGTGTAGTGCTCCAGCTGCGCCGTGCCGAATCAGCTGCAGCTTGGTGTGCAAACCACTGCACAGCACCTACTTGGGTGCGCCTGCCGTCTCATTCATGTGTCTCGGGGGGCGGGGGGGGGGCCTGAAAGCTACTGGCGTCGACCAACACAACAGCGCACTAAACTACAGATATACGAGCCCCGGTGGACAGTAATTACAAGCAGGATGTAGCAAATGTGCATTTACAGAAGTCCGCGGAGTACACGATATACTCCTATAAATCATGTCACGTTATCATAATCCTACACGTTATTGCGCCTTTATCCACAAAATCGAGATAAAATCCATGCACAATGCGGACATGCTGCATTCATCCACGAGTACGCGTTTTCTGTTTTTTGTTGGTTTACGTTTTGTTTCCTGTAGTCCTCACGCGTGCACACCAACCCACCTGCTTGTGTTGTATCGGTGAGATCGTAGCTCATCCCCGGGTACTCCCTCAGCTTCCTGCCGCTCAGGTTCAGTATCCCCGAGCACACGGCATCCTCCAGAGCCCGGTCCAGGCTTCGGGCCGTGTGGTGCTGCTGCTGGAACGGTGTGATGCCCGGGCTCCAGTGAGGTCCGGTGGGATAGTGATGGCTTTGTAGAGCGGTGACAGCTCCCACGCCTCCCTGACTGGACGCCATTTTTTAAAAGAAAAAGAAAAAAAGAAAAGAAAAAGAAAAAAAAGAAATTACTCTTACAATAATAACAGCGCACAGCGGCAGTTTCTCCGCCCATGCGCATACACGGTACATTCCCAGCACGGACGCTAGGGGATGGGCTTCTGAGGTATTGGTGCTGCTGCTGCTACTACTGCTGCTGCTGGTGATGATGATGATGATGATGAGGGGATATGGTGGCCATTTTGGGCTTTTAACCCTTTTTTCTCTCCATCTGGTAATAAACACCTTTTAACAGGAGACCCAGAATGACACAGGGGGCACAAGCATAGCACATTAATTGGTGCACTGTAGATAGTTATTTAAAAAAATGTTTAGCGTATAAAGGTTTATTATAACATTGAAATAAAACATATATAATCTAACATGTTTCTATAGTACAGCTCTCATCACATTCACTGGATATCACTAATCATTTACTGCTTTACTGCTCCTGGTTGTCTGAACAGTGAGTCAAATAATTATCCTCTTCAGTCATTGTGAAAACTTCTCCACCATCATACCCGGGTCCTAATGGGGCATTCCACTATCCCAGTAATGTCACAGAATGGTGCTAAAGTAAACTGAAGGCTATCCAAAACAACCCTCATGTGCCCTCTCTGAGCTCTGCTAATTACATCTATCTATCTATCTATCTATCTATCTATCTATCTATCTATCTATCTATCTATCTATCTATCTATCTATCTATCTATCTATCTATCTATCTATCTA